CTCTCTGATGTTTTCGTAGTACCACGCTTTGCCTGTTCAAGCGTCAATAGTGTTACAAAAATTCCCAGACACTGTAGAACAAATGATGGCCATGTTCTTGTCATGGTAAGGGTTATTATAGGAATCTTTTATGAAATTCCAAAGGAACAAATAAGCGAGGTGCTGAAAAAATTATTTGCGCGCGTGCCAAAAAATAATTAAGGCGATCTGCTAAATATTACTTCCATAATATCTTTTCCTTATTTTCTGATGAAGAGTAGCTTTAATTTTGTTGATGTAAAAGTCTCTGTGAGAATCTAATCTATATCTTACACTAATGGTGTTTTTAGGTAACGGTATTGCATGGTAATTTACTGTCAGTAAACGACCACCAAGGAGTGAATGTCGTTTACACCATAATCTACGTCAATATCAACTGATGAAAGGACAGCAGTATTGAAACTTATTCAGACAGTGTTCAAACTTTAGGTACTGAAAAGTGCTGGAAACCAGTGCAAGCCATGACGCTTGATGAGAAGAGTCTTGTTACGGGTTTTGCCGCCTTTTTTTGTCAGTGGGCCCTGGGACCCACTCGGTCAGTTTTATTTCCCAGGCCCGTTCGGTTCACAGCTCGTGTGTTGCGTTTTTTAGTTTCGGTAGGTTTCACCTTAATTTAACACCTCAGTTTGTCAGTTTATCATTCATCGCAGCACCATCCATGTAAGTTTTCATCGTTCCGTTATTTTATTGTTTTTGCCTTCTCGTATTTTCTGTTTTCTGTTTTCATTTCATCGTTTTCTGTGTTTTATTTACATGTAGTTTCACCATTCGACACTGAAGGAAAATAAACCATCGACTTACATACTCTTCGTGTTTCGGTTGAACACTACGCTAAGAACGCGACAAGTCTATTTATTCACATTTCTGTTTGTTTTGATAGAATTTTGTGCCCCAAAGGGGCCACTACCCCCACCCGGGATGGTTGAACGGTTTGGACAGAGTTTTGTCGAGCCCGGCTGTGTCCCCTTTCATCCGTGTTCGGATCTTGTAGATGGGAACTTGGAACACGGATGAAGTGTATTTCATCGGCGAGAACACGGAAAATCGTCATCCGTGCAAAATACGATACTTCGCAGTCAATTTTTCTTTTTTACTCGATTTGCTTTTTTTACATAGAATGAAAACGAATTTGGCTGGTTTATATAAGCTTTTTAAACGTTATTAGTTTAAGCATATCAAGCAGTTGAATATTATTCAAACACTAATAGTATCAAGCAATTAATTCTCCTTGCAAGAGCTATAATTTATTTCCATTTTATAACATTACGTGACCTCACTAATGTCAGATCAGGAGCCACGCCTCCAAGAATGTTCAATAAATGAAGACAGAGTGAAATTGACGTTAAAGTGTGGGCTTTTATGGTACACTGTAAAAGTAAGAAAATAAATGGGTTTAGATGGAAAGGAAGTTGCTTTATGGTGATTTATTTTTGTTCAAATTCAAACTGCCAAAAGCCCCAACTACGTGTCCACGTATATGAATAATTGGCACTATGTTGCTAATTACGTGACATTCTTGTTGCTTGTCGAGAGATAGGTAGCCTACCTGAGCAGGTCAAGCAAAAAGCAAATCTTTGGGACTGTAACATTCAACTTTAGAATGTCACTATGTTTAAAAAAAATTTGGATTCATTCTTTGCACGCAATTAATATGTGGATCTTATTAAAATCACTTCTCCCAACATTAAAAAGAGTGCAGTCACGGCTTCGATGATGCGTGTTATTCAATTGCGTGACAGATTAGTCGAGTGATCGAACCGCGTTGAACGGTCCTCGATTGTTGCAATGTTTCAGGTGTTTTTATGTCTACCAGTGCAACACGGAAAAGTGTTCTGATAGAAAACATCAACAACATGAAGCCAACTTACTTAGCAAAGGTCACTTGTGAAAAGGAGAAAGCAGAATTTAGCACGAAACAAACTAACATGTCAGTGACGAGCCAAACACGTAAAGACGAGGTCAAGAGGTGAGTCACAGCAGATCAGTTTTGTAAACGTTTCTCGACCCAATTCTGTTACGTTTACCTCTACATTTTTCTCTGAGGCATATTTAACTTACTCCATTGATTTTACTTCGCTTAACAATTTAGAGGAGCTTCACATTGGAAACTTTTAACGGCAAACATGTGAAGTGTTATTTACTTCAAAATGGCGGATATTGAAGTTGGCTTACTTCAGGAATGTCTTGTTGTACAGAAACAAAATATCCCAAGGAAACAAAACGGTAGAAAGTTGAAGCTATCCTTGAACATGGCTCAGGAGATTTCCTGGTGGATTTCATTGCGTACCGCGGGCATTTTTGGCACGTTTGTTTGAAGTACCAACGAATCTATTTTAGAGCAGCTGTAGGTGCACTTGAAAAAAAAGATTATATTTTATTTTTAAGGAAAGATTATGAGTTGGTTGAGCTGCCAATCAATTGCAGAAGCAACCAACGAATAGGATTAGTGTGAAACTAATTTTAAACTTACGATGAAATGACTCGACAGCGCCACGAATTATGCCAATTTCAAAGGTTTTATTCAAGAAAATATTGTAAACCGTTTCAAGTAGATTTCTCCTATACAAGCGAGAATTGGAACAAACGGACATTGCTGTCATATGTATGGGACTAAAGCCTTCCAATGGACAAAGTATGGGCGAAATTGAATTTTGAGCTGTGTCCGCGATTTCTCTGATTTCTACTGACATTTACTCTTAACAAGTCTGTAACTACGGACCACCGTATATATCCCTCAGTATGTTAAGTTGCTGCCCCATGAATTTTCCATAAGTTTGGATTTGTTGGTTTTTTTTCTTTTTTTCGAATCTTTCCTCAATTATGTCACTTTCTGTAATAGTTTTAAGCATTTATCTCCACCATGGCCTATCTTTTTTTCGGAATACAACACTATAGACTTCGAGCAGTCTCTCCTTTTCGACAAAGTTTGTCGCGCGAGTCCAAAACAAAATCGTCGAAAGAAAAGTTCATGTAAGCGCGAGTCGTTATCGCGAGGAGTTTTTAGTTGCTTGACGCGGATTGTTTGGCTGATTGTTTGATCTTCTTGATACACATGTAATTCCATTGACGTGTGCAACCTAATGATCGCAAATCTCATGTATGCGCAAAGTTAATTCTGAAAAGATATTTTTCAGACTCTTCTTGCCACATATATCACCCCAGAGAATACTATGTAATACTTATCGCCCTTCCATTCAAGTAGTAAAGTCACCTTTCCTGTGCCAAACCATGACCATAGCTAAGAGCTAAACTCTGTTTCCAAGTTATTTTATGTTAGTTTTAAGGTCTTGCGAAAATATCAGATAAAAACATTCCCCTAAGGAGTTTATGATATCTAACTCTGCTTAAATGACTGTAAGTAGTCTTCTGTGATACACTTGCAATTCCAATGACGCGTGCAATCTTGTAAATCTCATATATACCTAAGTCAAAAGAAGCTTTCCAAAGACCCTTTTACCACGAGAAAGGATACCCAAGAAACCGCCATGTAATATATACTCACGTATTAATTTGAGGAATATGAATACGCCGCTCTCCTTATAAGCAAAACAGAGACTTGTCAAAAAACCAAAGTACAACATTATCGTCAGGAGTTTTTTGTCAATTGTGACTTATCAATTGATTACAATCAATTGACGCTTACGCTTGCAATCCTTGCCACGTAAAGGATAACCATGAGATCACTCCGTAATACTTACCACACGGCCTATCCATTTCATAAACAGTAACTTGCTTTCCTTGAAAGCATATTGCTATAATCTTTATTTTATTATTGCTATAATCTTTATTTTACACTTTTATTATGTCTAATTTTGGTGACAGGAACTTG